TGAAGTTATCAGATCACTTTCAATGGGTTGATTTGGTCCTGTTCAGAAGCAACTGGAAAGAGATTCATTTCCTGATCAATAATACACAAAAGATGACTATTCTCTAGAGCCAAAACAGGAGCACCATAATTGCTTTTTGTTTATCAATGCTAAATACAATTACTGAAGAGATACGACCTCAGACAGAAAGACTGAGTGAGACTGGAAGTCTGCTCCTTCCTTACTCTTCTGTTGGCTGCTCCTGACATCTCCAAAAGACACTCAATAGAAGGTCCGGCTCTTAAAATTAGAGGTCAATTAGATACTTAATGATGAAGCATATCTTCAAATATATTTCTATTATTATTATCCCAGCAAAAAATTAATTAACCAGGTCATGCAGGTCATGAAGGCTAATGTGTAGAGTCATTATTTCTGATCTTTAGACAACTACTTCAAATAAAACGGTAGTCCTAATTCTGCTTGGCAGATGCCTGAAATGACCGTAGTTAATCACGTTGAAGGAAACAAAAGGCAAGGCTTACCTTAAAAGGTGAAACTACAACTCGAATTAATCTGCTTAATGGTTTTAAGAACAATTACTTCGTGCTTATATTAGTACCTATTCTGTTTACCAAGCAAGAGGAAAGGAGAGCACAACTTGAATAACGTTCTAGCAGGTGACAAACACCCAGAGAAACACACAGAATACACAAAATACACCGAAGAACACATAGGGATAAATTAATAAGAAAATTAGAAAATATTATATTATTTAAAAACAAAATAAAAGAACCTCATAGGAATAAAGTGAAGCTTCCATGAAGAAAAAGGCACTTGGTTTTGGGAAAAGTAAACAGCATGTAAATGATGCATTTATTAAATGAAGGGAGAGTAATGGACATTGTATATTAATCATTTTTAAATTTTAACAATTTCAAGTCACCCAAAAAGGTGTACATGTCTGCATTAACAGAATCATCGCCCTGATCCAGAAAGGCAAATGCCCAAGTAGGCGTCCATTCGTAAGGGACTATTTTCCAGTCAGTGATGTGAGCAGAGAACACCGCCTGCACAGCACACAATACAGACCACTTGAAAAACTCAAAAATTGGGATCTGAAGAGACATGAATAATTGGATAACACCATTCATGTCTGGAAAAAGTAAGTTTCTCACAGAGATATTTTAATGAGCTGATTTGTCTTGCAAAGACTAAGAGTTCTAGCTGAAAAAATGCCTTTGTTCTTATTGACATGCTATCGAAACCAAAAAGTGTAGTATATTGTGACAATGAAGACTATCTCTAGATTCAAAACTCATGGCATGGTCAAATGAAGTTAGATGAATGAATACAGAGATAAATCAGGATTTACAAAATATTTTTTGTTTTGCTTAGAATAGTTAGTCTTACATTTAATAGTTTTTCAAAATAATGTAAATATGATCTGTTTACAACTGTCCTAAGGGTTAAAATTGAATTATGTTTACAAGTTCATGAATAACACAAGCCAAAAAAATTGTTAGGATACTATAATATAATGTAAGGTGGATGAAGCTTACATATGCATGTGTCTTTAGCATTACAGCATAAGAGTCAACATTCCCAATTTTTAGGAACCCATATTTCATGATGTATTAAGCTTTGTACTTTCCATAAGATGAATACAAACTGCTATTTCTTTCCTCAAAATACAAAACTGTCTAACATCTTCTTTGATCCATGTTGGGAGAATTAGTTAATATATAATAATTAGTAGAATCTTTTCCCCAAAGCACAAACAGAAGGATTCGAATTCACTAACCAAACAGCCTTCCAAAATATTTGTTAATATTAAAGGATTTTAATAATCATTTTTCATTATTATCCTGCTGTTGCAAATTGTAAAAACGGACTCATCAAAGATACAAATACACTAGTTCATAAACCTATCCACCTAACATTTTAATTATAGCTTACATGGTCTTAGAAGTGTATCTTTCAAAATTTAGCTGTGAAACTTTTTATTAAAAGAAGAAACATAAATGTAAATGAACTTATTTTTATCTGTCCATATGCTAAGGGATTAAAAATAAAATAAGCATGAAAACTTCTATAATACTATCTTTATCCTATCCTTTCCTATCGCTAATGAAAACTGTTTTTCTGTTTGCTAAAACCACTCAGATCTTCATTCTAACAGGCCCAGATGTGTTTATGTGTAGTTCTTATAAAAGTTTAGAAGACACGCTTACATTTCTTTCTTTGAAATCTTGCAAATCCCTCAAAAACAGCACTAACTCAGAAGTCAGCATTCTAAAACAGAAGAACAATGCTGAATGTAACCATTATATTCATAGCCAATTGTCATGGCTTACTCTCCTTGACCATGTTAGCCAATAGGTTCTAGGACTCAAATTAACGATAAAAATGTCAATCTTGGTCTGATTAACTCTGCATTCATTAGCTTTAAGAAGTGAGGTCAAGTTTTGTTTTTATTTAACTTGGATTTTTCTTTTTTTCTTTTATCGTTTTGTGGTTTTGTTTTTTTTTTTCCTGTTTTGTTTTCAAACGTGAGAACGTTGTTTTTCCTGATAGAAGAATGTTTGAAGCATCCCTAAAATTACATAATTTGCTTGTAAAATATTAAAATTAGGTTAGCAGTACTATCTCTTATAAATTTGATTACATCTATGACTTTTCAAAAACTATATTTGAGACTATCGTTAACCCATGCCCCCTTCCAAAAGAGTAACTTAAAGAGTCTGAATATCAAATACCTGTTTGGCTTCTTGTTAGAAATGAATATGTTTTATGTAAAGAATGCTTTTCAATATTTGAAAAATTCTTTGAATGGTCTCATAACAATAAGACAAAAACTACCAAAATATATAGTTAAGTAGTAGCTCAGGATACAATGAACTGTAATTTTGGTCTTACTATTTCTTGTTATTTTTTAAATATGAATTCCTGTTACAAAGAGTTCTTTATTTCTACAATGAATGTAACATTGACACATTGAATCCCTCTCTCCTTTTATATATTATGCTGCTGAATTAAAATGCTGATAGCTTCATTCATTTTCAATTTTTAAATGACAAACATCCATACTTTTTTTTAAACAAACTTAAAAAGTTTGAAAATAAAGTGTTCCTATTTTTCAAACAGAACATTCCAATGACTATTATTTTAAGATCATGTTCTATTTTAAGAACAGAAGACTACAATTTCATGTAGTTAAATTACAACTATACTATGAAATTAGATATAATCATTAATCATTAGTAATATTTCATAAAAATACTCTAAACTGATTTGGTTGCCTTTCATCTGAGTTCTTCAGTACCCAGGCAAATATCAATTATGATAGCCAGTCAATATGAATAATACTGGACCATGAAGTGAAATATATTAGAAATAAATAAAGAATAAAGAGGCCTTAAAAACAAAAAGAAGCAACTGATATGGAAACATTTCAGAAAACTCCTTCTATCCATGCTTCACAAATAGGAAAAGCAGAACTAAATAATCAGGTTATTTAACACCTACTAAGTTCTTAAAGAGAGATCTAGAGAAAACTATAGGAAGCCACAGGCTAAAAATCGTGACTTAGCAGTAGGAGGCCCACTGAAAATTCTAACAAGGGCAAAACAAGAGAACACCTGGACAGTTATTTAATTAAGGATCTCAGCATGGATCATAAAAGAGATATCTGGATGAATAATTATTCCAAGATTTCAAAAGACTGACAGTCAGAAATATCAGAGCATTTCATTTCTTTATTGGGACATTTCTTTTGAGACATATAGACTTAGTATAGTATATAGAATCAGAACTAATAAAGCACCATCTAAAACCTCCTAGTAAAGAGACAGTAGGAAAAAATTCCAAATTAGGTTTATTTATTTCTTCAGGACTCAAATCTGTAAGTATTTAAAAGGCTGTGGCTACTACCTGAAAGACTATGTCGTGTGATTAACAAAATGAAGCAAGGAACTAAGTTTTCATCAAAAAGAAGATTAGTGTAAGTATGCTTTTATGTTACTGATTTAAGAAATAAACACAGGAAGTTCTGATTGTTTCCATGAACTTTTTTGAAGTTCCCTCGTGTAATTGAGAATGTGTTGTTCCTACTAGGCTGAATCAGAGATCCCAGCAGGTTAGAAAATATCCACAGCAACCAAGGGAAACAAGAGTCTCTGGTGAAGTGCATATAGTTCTGGGATCTTTATACCTGAGGAGTAATCACCAGACAATCAGTTCCTGATTTGAAGACCTTCTGGAAGTCACAAACCTATGCTCCCATTCAGAAATGGAGACTACTTTCACCTTAACTATCTCAAATAGCCATTCATTGAAATAATCATAGCATTTAAAAAAAAAAAAAAAAAAAGGCAGAAACCATACCATTACTGTCCCTTCCCATATTTCTGTTTTTGTGATCTATCCCTTGCTGCGTACCTGACCACAAGTAGGTTAAATCATATTAAAATATTCATTATAATGTTTTTCTTCCTATCTAGATTGTACTCTCCTTGAAGACAGTCTGCTGTTCACTAATCTTTATATTAGCCTCAGCACCTAGCGGCAGGAATGCAGTTAATAATTGGTACAGAATAAATCAAGTATTTCCAGACTTTTCCCAAGTCATAAAATTCTTCTCATTATTGGCCCAATCAGACCGCCCTAAGTAAAAGTAAGCTCCTCTCCCTAATATTATTTGATGGTAAAATGCAAAGCAAAGAATGGGCTGTGACTATAAAAACAGTATCCGTACGCTACCCTGGAAACAATTAGGTTTCCATTAGTGTGTTTTAAGCAAATGGCAGAAGGCATGACAGATAAAATTTATTCTGCTTATGCACAAGAGAAGAATGCTTAGACCACTGTCTAGTCAAGTTTCCTATTTCTTATTTATACAATTGTGTACATGCGATTGGTACTGTTTATAAGACAAGGATGCATTGGCAGCATTTTAAATTCCATTTTCAAGGAGGAAAGTACGTACGTATAATCAGATGAGAGTAATAAAATACACTGACCTGGATCTGTTGCTGCAGGACATTAATTTTGTGCTGCTGTTGCAGAAGTTGCTGCTGTTGTCTTGCGATCTATCAGAAATAAAGTTTCATTAAGTTAAAATGAAATGCACATACCTTTGCCATTACCTCAGGTATCTCTCTTGGTATTATAAGAATGCTGTACTGTACCTCTATGGGAAAGAGATCCTATAAAATGTGAAAAGCAGGTACAGAAAGTTGGAGAAAAGAAACATTTTCAACCAGGTGCCATAACTCTGCTTGCTCGTAAATCTATATCTGGGGGTAAAAACAACCACTTGAATTGTATCTGGGAGCAGTGCACTTCTGCCTATACTGGTCATCTGGAAAGAAAGGGAATTTGGAAATCTGATCTTTGGGAAATGAATACAGGAAAACTCCAGATAAATTTTCTTAAAATGCTTAACTTATATGTAAAGACAGGAAAAATAGTCTTTGTATGATATGTTCTACTTTTGTGAAGTCTTTTCTAATGTAAAACTTTTCAGAACTGATGCACTTACAAATATTATCAAAGAAGTAGAAAAAAACACACTAAAAAGTAATAATTTTTTAGCTTGTTTGCAATGTTGCATGTGATATATAAAGTATTATTGTTGTTGTTGTTTTAAAGTGCCTTCGAGTCGGTTCCGACCCATAGCGACCCTGTACAGGGTTTCCGAGGGTGTAAATCGTTACGGGAGTAGAAAGCCTCATCTTTCTTCCGCGGAGCGACTGGTAGTTTTGAACCACTGACTTTAAGGTTCACAGCCCGATTCGTAACCACTATGCTACCGGATCTCCTTTAAGAACATGCAAAACTATTATTTTTAATGCAAGTGAATTATAGTGTTGGAGAAGAATATTCAAAGTGTCATGAGCTGCCCGAAGAAAAAACAAATCTGACTTGGAAGACGAGCAGCCAGAATGCTCCTTAGGGGCCAGGATGGCAAGACTTTGTCTCTCATACTTTGGACATGTTATCAGGAGGGATCGGACCCTGAAGAAGGATGTCATGCTTGGGAAAGTGAAAGGTCAGTGAAAAGAGAAGGATTCCCAAAGAGATGGATTAGCACAGTGGCAGCAGCAATGGAAGCAATGTAACTACAATTGTGAGGAAGGCACAGAATCAGGCAGTGCTTTGCTCTGTTGTGCGTAGGGTCGCTGTGAGTCAGAACCAACTCAAAGGCATACAACAACAACAAAAACTGTAATCTAACAGTTATCCGTATCCCTTCTTGAGGAAAATGCATTTTGTTAATAAATGTAATACATCTAATTTTACAAAATTAATACATACAAGGATCCATATACAAGTTTTATATTCCTTTGTTTCACCCACCAATCAAATTCAACATCTTAGTGGGTCATCTGGTCTTTAAGAAGAAATATTCATCCCTTGTCATGACAAATCCTATTGAGAGACCAATTGGCCTCTCAGGAGCACAAACAACTTCCTTGTATTAATAGTGTTTACTATGAAGTTTAACATAATGGTGTTTACTGTGAGTCCCGGTGTGGCACTGTGAGTTAATGCACTGGATTTCAAAGTCGCTCTGAACCACAAGGTTAGTGGTTCAAGCTCACCAGCTCCTCCTCAGAAACCCTATACAGAGTTGCTATGGGTCAGAACCTACTCAATGGCATTTAACAACAACAACTATGAAGTAGGAGTCCTGGTGTGGTGCTGTAGAATAAGCACTGAACTGTAACCTCAAGGGCAACTGTTCAAACCCACCAGTCACTCCTTGGAAACCCTATACCAGGTTGCTATGAGTCTGAACCGAATTGACGGCCCACAACAACAAGAATAGCACATGGAGTGTAATTCTAGCAGTAGGCAACTTATTGTTCCCAAATCTGAACCGCTGCTACTCGAAGTCCAGAGGGAATGTTCCATAGTGAGAACACACTCTCTGCAGAGCTAGGAGGCCACAGAGAAAGTGGCCAGGGATCGCTTAGAAGGATTTGGTGTCATGGAACAAACAGTATGAGCAAGAACGATTATCCTTTCTTACTATGTTTTCTTAGTTACAAAAGACTTAATAGTCTAGAATGGGCAGTGTTCAAAGCGGAAACGAGTGTGGCTCAGCCTCCAGCTGTACTTCTTGAGCCTCTTGGGTGCTGGAGGCCAGAGCAGGAGGAACCATTTAAAACACATTTCATTCAACATAAGATACCAACATGATGGTCTGCGCCCGTGGTTTTCTGGTGGAGACTGGCTCGTACTGGAAATCATGATAAAACTGTCCTTAGGAAAGGCTACAGTTCAAGAAATGGCACCATTCTTCTCTCAAACTTTATAGGCAAAATGGAAGTAATATTTAATCAGGTTACAACAGCCCACTTTGCTTGCCACCATTCAAATCAGCAATGTACAACTCACTCTCCAGGTCTAGGTATGGCTGCTGGATCTTCTGAATATTTATTTCCTCTTAGCAGACCAGTGAAAAACCAAAAGGCATCTAATATTGATGGCCCCTCCTAAATGATAAAGTGCTACATAGAAATGCATCAAAACACCACAGTGCAATTACTATCATCCACTCTAGACGTATGGGTTTGACACAGTGAAGTATGGTACATAAGCACCATGTGGCTCAAATTCTGAATTTTATTTGCCAATCGGTTGAGCTACATGCTCGCTTCATTGAGCATGACAACCTAGTTTTAAGTGTCATTTAATTTTCATTTTGAAATATAATTACAAAGTGTTCACTGTAAGATATCACTCGTCTGCAAATGTGTCAAGATTAATTTGTGCTAGCTTATTCACAAGTGTCAATAGTTAATTACTGTGTCATCTCTAGGTGGCTAAATGACATTCTAACTTCTGATTTTTTACAGTGTTCCTTTATGTTATTTTCCATTAGGGGCTGAGTCCATATTCCTACATGTGGGCAAATATTCAAGCATATAAAATACCAGACGTCACAACTCATTAAAATCAACAGAGCATATATTGCTCTATATACCCCTATAAAATACATTTAACTGAAAAGATAATTCCAGTAATAATGTCAGATTCCTAAAAACTGCACATTAATTTGGGTTTGGCTGATCTAAGGCACCAGGGAATTATTGTTGTTAGATTAATGTACTCTTCTGAGACAAGAAGGGCAGTTGGCAAAATGATCTACTTTTAAAAAGGTATACTTTTAAATGGTGCTATTTTTTCCTTTTTTCTCACTTCTAAGTCAATCAAGTCTAATTCTTATAGGAAACATGTGCCGATTTGTTTTCAATCATTTACCTATGCTATAAATAGTGTGGCCATATAATTTATCATCCAAACCAAGACAACTTTTTAAAGTGGAAGTGGGGGTAGAGTAGGGGAAGAATTAATAATTACCCTAGAAAACAGGTATAAACCAGAGCTATTCTGGGAAAACTGAGCTGGATGGTCACCCTAGTTTTAAAGTTGGAGAAAACCATTGAACCAGAGAGCTGAAATACCTTCCACAGTGTTTCTAGATGAAGGAAGTGAAGTCCACGGAGACCTGTCTCTTTTCTGGATGAGCAAAGTAAGGCCGAGAGAGAAGTGACTTGTCCACGGTTAAATTACACTTGGACTGCTTTGGACATTTTTATGAGTAAGTACCCTGAGAAATTGAGCCCCGGTATGGTGCTATAGGATAAGCACTGGACTGATAACCACGAGGTCGACAGTTCAAACCCATCAGCCACTCTCAGAAACCCTATATGGGTTGGAACCAACTCGATGACACACAACAACCACCACCACCACCCCTGAAAAATGAACCAAATCCAAATGCTCTGAAACAATGTGTCATTCAGAACTGTCAGCTTAGTGTGATGTTTCTCTTTGTCCTCCCCATACACCCTCAGTATTCTTGAGAACCTCAGATTTCCAAAAGGCTTCTTTTTTTCTCCCTTTTTTTTTTTTTTAAAAAAAGGAAAGCGTACAACAAATAAGCCAATCAGTGCGATTACTCGCTGAGCTTGGCACATTCCACATCTCCAGTTGGTCAGCTCCTTTTGCCGGGCTCACCTGTTCTTGCTGTTGACGAGCAAGGTCCATTTGCTGCCGTTGTTTCTCAATTTGTGAGGCTGCCAGTTTTTTCTGTTCATCATGCGCTGCCAGGAGCTGCTCCCGTAAACTGATCAGCTGGGTAATCATGGTGGAGAGCTGCCGTTCTTTTTCTGCCAGGCTCTCAGGGGTACCTAAAATGAAAGCAGGAAAAGAGATCTCAAAAGTTTGAGGAAAGCCTGAGTGAACTGGAGAAAGACAGGCAGAATTTAGAAAGGGCTTGTCCTAAGACATTTGAAGACCTGAGACACATGGATGTCATTGGGAATGCAAGAACACCACTGAATACTTACCGTCATGGGATAGAAGCTAAGGCTACTCTCTGTCCATGCCAAGAACAAGTACTGTCACCAGTAAAATTCTCACTTACTCCGCCCTCTTGCCCTTACAAAAATCAAACAAACAAACAAGCAAAAAAACAAAACAGCTGACCTACTACATTCTGTTTTTAACCACACACTCTTTCCTCCTCCAAAGGTAATTTATTTTATAGTGACAAAGATTACAATTATGGATTGTATTAATAGTCTAATTGCTTCTATCCTCAGTGACTAGCACAATATCCAAGGCATAGTATTGTTGTTAAGTGCCATGGAGTCAGTTCCAACTCACAGCAACCCTGGTGGGTTTAGACCACCAACCTTGTGGTTAGCAGTCCAGTAGTGCTTACCCTACAGAACTATAGCAGGCGTAGTATAGGTGCTTAATAAATATTACTTAATGAAGTTTCTGGCAATTTCTATTAGGGAAAATTTTGCCCTAACAATTTTTTTTTTCTTTCCTGTTGTGCAAATATTTGTCTTTGAAGTTCAGAAGAAAGGAGTCGATCTCTTAGCCATAGAACAAGATCCAGCGAGAAAATAAAAACTTGTACAGGTAAGAAAGGATTGATTCTGGGGGTTTAGGGTTTTGTTTTGTTTTTTTCTTTTTTTCTATTAGGAGATCATTCGAAAGCTCCCAAGTTCATCCTTAAAGGCAACAATGTTTCTTGGAGGCTCCCTCACCCTTTTCTCATTTGTCATTCTTCAAAGGGAAAAAACACATTCGAGGTTGAAAAGGTTATGCATAAGGATATGCTGTTTAATGAATATGATGCCACTGAACACTTATGGTATGCACTAATGGTGCTGAACAGTCTTTTTATGGGCAAATTGCACAGCTCTCCTAAGTAAAGGGTACAGAATCCTTTTGTGAATCTAAATTAGAGCATTTTACTGCCGCATAAGATAAGAATTTCAACCCGCTGTATTTGAGCCACACAGGTTTCAAGATGAAGAAATGATCTATGATTTGCAAGCTTTTCAGAAAGATGCCACCAGCTGTCAAAGGGGACGAACATTGCTGATTGTTTGTGTTTGTGGAAGGGGAGACTTCCAACTTCCTACAAAAAACACCAAACAACACTCATTTTTCTAAGAAAGCACCAGAACAATCTGAGAAACATATTAATTAAAAGTGGTCCTCTTTTCTGAGTGGCCCCAAGGAGAAAAGGTGCCTTTATATAGGGTGCTTGGTAGTATATGACTCCCACAAGTGAAGACTGACATCAGTATAGAAGCTACCACATTTAGAACTAATTACATTGGGATTCTTAATGTTAACTCAGCTTTAAAAACAAAGCAAAACTACAGAAACCACTCAATATTTCGTAAAGAGCTAAAAGGTAGCCTAAAATTACCATTAAAAGAGAAAGAAAGTAAAATAATGTCAGAAAAAATGTATTCTACTGATAAGGGAACAAATACTGTCTAAAGGTTCGTGACCAACTGTTGTTTCTAGACACTGGAATGTTACTAAGAGAACATAGGTTCTAATTTCAACAGTAGGAATTTCAGCTCAGTAAAAAGTACAACTTCTCAATCTAGAAATGTAGTAAAACACAAAAGCAGGAACTTGAAGGGGATACTAAAATCTTTTCAAATGAAGGACAAGCTAGACTAATGTCCACATCAATATTACAATAATGAGAAGATACAAATCAAGAAAAAGTATGAAATTTATTTATATACGTATTTCACTCATTCATAATTCAATTAACATTTCTTGAATGGTAGCAACATTATTGCTATTACTGTTAGGTGCCTTCCAGTCCAGTTTTGACTCACAGTGACCGCATTTGACAGAGCAGAACTTCATCATAGAGGTTTCTAGACAATCATTATGGGAGAACATCGCCAGGTCTTTCTAGCACAGACCTGGCTGAGTGGGTTCGAGCCACTAACCCTAGTTAGCAGCTGAGTTGCTTAACCACTGCACACCAACACTCCTTGGTAACTTTATGTCGAGTACTACATTAAGAGCTAATGATATAATGGCAAGTAAAAGCACACACAGTCCCTACACACATGCAGTTTATAGTCCAAAGTGGGAGGGGACACATGAATCAAACTGTCACATACATACATGTAAAGCACATCTGATAAGAATTACAAAGACCTACTTTTGTATAGGTTCAATGTTGTGGGTAACATCTTTAAATGACTTCTTAACCTCCTGCTCAAAGTGATGTCAAGAAATCTATATATACACTGTGCTTCCAATGCTAATATTCATAGATATGAATAAATGTATAAGAATATCTGAATGTTTAGGATAAAACCATTTAACTGAAATCTTTTTTTAAAGTCATCATATTGAAAGAGTTTCATTGAAAACATTCAAGAACATCTCAAGTTTTTCATCGGACTGAAAAGGGTAGATTAAATATTAGGCTGCTGACCACAAGGTTGGCAGTTCAAATACACCAGCCGCTACTCAGGAGAAAGACAAGGCTTTCTAGTCCTGTGAAGATCTGCAGCCTCAGAAATCCTACAGAGCAAGTTCTACTCTGTTCTGTAGGGTAACTATGAGTCAAAATCAACTCAACAGCAGCGGAATGAGTAGCGGGTAGGTTCTCACTATGTTTTCCTTAAGCTTGAAGAGCATATAAATATTCTGGATAGATATGAATGGCTTAACAAGTGAAGTTAGAATGAAATGAATATTGTAGCAAATCTAAAGTTCCCCTGAATGGGTGAGTTATATTTATATAAAGTCATGTCGCCTGTAGGGGGCAAATTAAGGAGACATTAATTTACACCATAAAAATCGCTTACGTTCTCTAGCGGACTAATTTGTGTGTGTATGTGGTCATTTTCCTGTTATGTACCCATTGTATTATTCAGATATACTAGTTTAAAGCCAGGCATTTAAAAACTTATGGTGTTGGATTTTTGTTTTGATTAATCACTATAGCTTGGGCCACTGGAATGAAATAAATTCAAGTCTGAAAAATCACAATGACCAGCCACTCTTTAAATACAAGCAATTTCGTGTTTTTTGTTTTTTGTTTTTTAAAAAAAAAAGTTTAATTAAGCATGAAACTTTGCCACGGCAAAAAAACAAACAAACAAACAAAAAAAACTTACAAGTGCTAAAGTTGCTGAAACTGTATATGAACTATGGGGCATGGT